TAGGAAGCCGCGCCTGGAAGAAGAAGCAGATCGTGTACAAGGTGTCTCCTGCCGAGACCGCCATCCGATTCGTGGTGGACGTGATCGTCCTGAGCCGGCAGCGCTCCAATCCCGATGGGTTCTCACTGCTTGGGTAAGTAATGGTACGCTCCGATCCCGACGGGTTCTCGTTGCCGGGTAAGTAATGGTACGCTCCGATCTCGACGGGTTCTCGTTGCTTGGGAAAGTGGTGCTTGGTCTAGCCTCCAACCTTGAAGACTCTCTCTGCTTTGGTAGGTAATAATTATAATACGACCGAACCCTGACGGTTGTTGCTTGGGTGGGTATATCATAGAATGCCCCAACCCCGACGGGTTCTCATTTCTCGTTGCTCGGCTATCTTATGATCATCCCAAGCCTCTGAACCTGACGGAATCTCACCATAGGGACGGTTGGTTTAAGCCCGGTGAGAAGGAATTTTCCTTGGTCGGGTAGGTCATAATCGGTTTTACCTTGAGTCTGATTCCTACTGCTCGGTTTGGTTATGGTCTGAACTGATACTTTCCGCGGCTCCGGGTTGATTTGAGCATACGACAGGAGATCATCCCTGCCCGGGTCGGTTGTGGTCTTCGCTCCGCTCCTAGCCCAGGGATTGTCAGCGCTCTGGTAGGTGGCGTTGTCCGTGGGATTCTCACTGCCGGGATAGATGGCGGTCCCTACAGCCTGGGGTCCTATGTAGTATGTACGGTACCAACTGAGGACGATTCCTGAGCGTGTTCCAGTCTCTAAATTTCCTCACATTATTCTCTTAGCTGAACGGGCCGACCGTGTGTTTTGTTGAAAGGGAGCTGGACAGTCTACCCGTGTGCTGTGTTCGCAAGGAGCTAACGATGTCCTTTTGTGTTCACAGGGAGCTAAACGGCCTCACCGTATGCTGCAAATACGGCACCAAGGCGCGGACACCGCGACGCTCGGCCCCGGCGCCGCCCCTGCCATACACGTGAGTACGACAGCAGTGTCAGCCGTGGTTGCTGTGACATCAGCTGGGGTACGCAGGCCCCCTGCACACGGGTTTGGGTCTGCGTTATCCGGTAATCGTACCTCCGCGAGGGAATAAGTTGGACAGTATACCACCTTGTTTTCCGTTCAGTATTCATATTGTAGTGTTCTCTTAACCCTATTCCTGGCGGGGGGGGGGCCTCAGGAGCCCCCCCCCCCTGAGGTTTTTTGGTTATTTCTCCCAAACGCGTTGAGCTAGGAAGCTCAAATTTTCTGACTTTTTCTAAAAGGCTTCTACGCAACATGTCTGAAAATTTTGAGTTGATCTGACCTCAGGTCAGGTCACCAGAGGCGGTTTGGTGACCCTACCTCAGAAAAGTTTGCAATCACGCCAGAGCTAGAGTTTTTGACCGATCAATTTCTTCTCTTCAGGCTTTAGTTAGGGTACCAGTATGTGCAATTTGTATATCTCGGAATTTTTATATCGGTGACCTAAGGTCAGGTCAGTTTCGCGACCTCCCCATTATAAGTCAATGGGGAAAAATCAACTCCCTGTTTTTACCACTAAAACGGGTCGGAATGGCCCCATATACCATACATGACTTCATATACGATCAACCTTCACTACCTTGAGGTCTGTTTTGCTGTTGGGCAGCTGTGAGGTCATGTGACGTCATCAAAGGTCACCAAAGGTTTTTGGCCAATAACTCCGTACAGGAACAAGATACAGACGCGTGGATGGTCTCATTGTGTTCAGCTCGTCAAGACGCATCGAATGATATACATGATGACCTCGAGGTCACGTGACCTGAGGTCAACCTTTGACCTTGACCTTTCGAGGTCAACATATATATCATTCGATGCGGATTGACGAGAGGATCACGATGATGCCCTTAGTTTGTTCCTATCTTGACTAATTCGAAAGTTACTCGAGAAAAACTCTCTCCATATCTAGCGCCGCCATTTTGACTTTTTCGACCCCTGTGACGTCATCTTTGACCTGACCTGAAAATGACCTTAGTAAAAATTGTAGACCTTGTCCATGCGTATCCGATGCCGTTTACCGCTTGTCGCTATCTTGCTTCGTTCTCGAGATCTCAGGGGGGGGGGGCCGAATCGGCCCCCCCGCCAGTTTCTTGTCCCGGCGGAGCCCGCCAGGAATAGGGTTAAGATGAAGTTTGTCGCTTAAAATGCCAAAATTAACGTTCCTTCTAAAAAGTCCACTTAATCACTTCTCGCTCCATTGCTGGCGCTGCCTCGTTGAGTGACTTACTTAGTCATCATTCATTTCCGAGCCAGTCACCTCCCGGCCTTACTAGTGCGGTAGTAACTAACCGACGCGGACTCGTTCCCCAGGCCGTCCCCCGGCAGCAGCAGTAACGGTCTGGCGACGCCCAGCGGCACGGACACACTCACTCAGGCGCACGGAGGTCAGTGCATTTGACGGGCCGTATAATCTCGTGCGGGTCAACTTAGGTCGGCGCAGTTTCTGACAGATGCAGGGAGGTCAGCTCTGCAGTGCTACTTTTGTGTCTGTGTTTACTTTGTGGCCCAAGCTTGGATGAAGAAAGGTCACATCCTCATCGAGTAATAACTGCTGGAAACTCGTTATGAAAAAGATTAACAAAGGAATACTTAACAACTAGCTCGTTCTCTAGATATTGCTTTTAGTATTTGAATTTTGAAATGTTTGCCGTACACATCTTGGTGGTGATTTTAGTATTCGGTGCTTCAACCGAATGATTTCTACGAACATCATGAAATAATGTTTGCTGTCTGTTTCAGGCATTGAGGGAGTTCCTTTTGTCATCAACCCCAAGTTGAGCAAGTCAAAGGAGCTAAAACACTTCACTTTGAACACCAGCTTAATGACACTGGAAGAGCTGGAGAACCTGGTTAGTAGCAGCTGGCAAGCGAAGTTTCCAATGCGTTTTTACCGTAGTTGCATGCCAATTATATTACATTATTTCAGCGATCGCTAAATTCCTCAGGGTATATATGTATTATCGTTCGTTCGAAAAAAATAGGTGTAATTTGCAGCTGTGGTGCAATTTTTTGCATTGCCGTATTTTCCCCTTTTAACTAAACTGTAGGGGAGAGTGGGGTAATTTGGCCGGTGGTGTAAATTGGCCGCCCCCACCTGTACGAAAGCTGATAAAAGTGAATGAAATAACTTTGGTCTCTATTCATTTGTCATCGGCAGAACTAACTCGAGGACAAATGTCAAAACTTACCCCCTCTTAGTTTTATTCAAAATGAATAAAACGTGAATTTCGTTAGAAAATGGTAACTTTTACTTCCGTTTAAAAATTTGTATAACATGTAGTATTTGGGCTGTAAACGAATTCCAACATTATAGCGCCATTCTTGAGGGTGTTCAGAGGTTCCAAGAACAATTTCATGTAGTTCTGTACAGCCATGACAACTTTATAGACAAAAATTTTCAGAATGGCAATGTGGGGTTATTTGGCCGGGTCTAGCGGGGCAACTTGGCCGGTGCGCTCAGAGTCACTATACTGGGACGGCCGTGTTGTCATGGTAAATTATACCATAAAGGACATGATTCATGACCAACTTTGGCTACCTTGATGCCATATTTCCCATTAGACAGCTGTAAGGGCATGTGACGTCATCAAAGGTTACCTAGCGCTTTTTTGCTAATAAATACTTACAGAAAAAAGATACAGCCGCGCAAATGGTCTCATTGTGTTCAGCTCGTCAAGGTGCATCGAATGATATACATGATATACATGATGACATGATGACTCACGTACTCGTAACCTTGAGGTCAAGCGACCTGAGGTAACGTGACCTGAAGCCAACCTTTGACCTTGACCTCTCGAGGTAAACACATACATGTTTCGATGCAAAATGACGAGAGAATTACGATGGTACTCTTAGTTTTGGCCTAGCTTGATTACTTCAAAAGTTATTCGTAAAAAACTGTCATCGCATCTAGAGCCGCTATTTCGACTATTTTCGACCCCTGTGACGGCTGAGTCAACCTCCAAAATGCTTCAAATGCGTCGTAGGACAAGCGTCATTGCTGAATGTGAAGCTGACTCGCCTATAACAAAAATCATGGCCTCAAACTAACATCGGCCAAATTTCCCAACACCCCCGGCCAAATAACCCTGCTAGTGGGGCAATTTGGCCGCTTTGCAGACCTTTGTAATACGTCACAATTTTAATATAAGTAGTTACTCTATCATTTCAAGTTTACTGTCCAGTAAAGTAAAATGTATGCCACACCTGTCAGCGTTGAGAAAATGGAGAAATGTGTTGTCATTTTTTAGTTACATCGTTTTCTAAAAAAAGCGGCCAAATTACCCCACTCTCCCCTACTTAATCACCCGCATTCAGGAGACTTTGCGCTCTATCTAGACCTTTTTAGGCGAATTCAAAACGTTTACGTGCACTTTGAAAAAAAAAAAAACTTTTTGAGATTGGCCTTTAACTTTTTTGAAATTGCGCCTAAAAAGGTGTAGATCATTTGCTGTCTATCAGTAGATTTGCTTTCCTATAAGTAGAGCTGGTCAATCTAAAAATGACTCTCTGAATGAATCCGTGTGGGATCCATCCGCATTCTTTTCCCAAAAGACTTTTAATGTTTAGGTGGCAGCTGGAAGTTCAATGGCCCATTAGGTACCTACTATAGGAGCACAACCGGTCTGCTCTGTCACTTTCGCTCTGAAGGGGTTGGTACTTCAAGTGCTCAGAGAAATTGTTGGATCTCCTGTCCGTTTGGCGGTATGGAATTGGGTCGACTAATTGTAGATCTCTTAATGCGTTTGCTGGTAGCTCTTACATTCAGGACCCAGGGTTTCGTCGAACACACCCAAGCTAACTTCCTTCGGCGAATCGAATCATACATGATGTCTAACCGTGCCTGTCCTTCGGCAGACCAACTACGATTTCAAGACGGAGTACGCAGCACTGCAGTAGACTCTCCCGACACCTGTGACCCTGCCCAGCGCTGTCCAGTCGTCTCCTCTGCAGCACCAGCCGGTCAGACACTGGAGTCTGTCGCGCGTGCGAGTATATTGTACGGCAGCACGCGACATGTGTGATATATATGTTGCAGGCACTTTAGAAAATCAGTCATTTTGTAAAATGCCTAGGCATTTTGCAAAATGCCTGATTTTCCAGGCTTTTTGCAAAAAGCCTAGGCATTTTACAAAATGACTGACTCTCCAGTCATTTTGCAAAATGCCTAGGCATTTTACAAAATACCTAGCCATTTTACAAAATGACTGAGCAGCGTGTTGTAGATACGAGTACCTAATTATATACGTTTTGGTAGCGTGTAGGTGGACCGAGGAGTCCAGCATTATGACCAGAGGAGTCCAGCAGTGGGAAGTCCATACCTACCTCTCTCTATTTTGAGAAGTGCAGGCCCGCGACATTTCCAACCCCCACGTCAGCGACGCTGCTGGATTTAAAATGATCGATCTGGAGTAGAGCACTTCACGGATAGGCTTTTTAGGATCCGGCCCGGCCCATATCCGGCAAGTCATATCCAGATCCGCCCATTATCCGCCTTTCTTTGAATATCAGAATCCGGCCCACCCATGGCCCGTATTGCAGCCAAACTTCCAAAAAATATCCGTAACAATCCGTTTCACCAATAACTGGTTTCACCCAAAACTGGACTAACAAATTCAATCTAAGGGACCAGACAGCCATACATCTCACAGACCATCATGGTTCCAAAAACCATGCTTATAAACCTAAAACCACATGAAAATCACCACATTGGTAAACAAGGTTATGTTAAAATTGTTAAAATTTTGTTAATTTTTTTTAATGTTAAAATTTTGATCCGTTTTGATCCGGGTTCAACCTTCAATTCCCAAATCCGGCCCGCCTATATCCGTTCTTTTTTAACAAATTTAGAATCCAATCCTATCCGGTCCGCGGATTTATCCGTGGATAACGGATTTATCCGGCCCATGAAGTGCTCTAATCTGGAGCGTCAACAAACGACTGGCCCTATGCCGGCCTGTATCTGTAAAACCATTAGAGGTCGCGAGGATTCGATCCCACACACTTAGGCGTTAGTGTCTTCTGAAACCAACGCTCTTGTCCTACGCCAAGCGACCTGATGATTCTCCCGATGTGGAGCTTGATATTTTTAACTGAGACCATGCAAGTAGGTACTCAAAGCTGTCAAACAAAGACACAATCAAACAAAGACTACACTCATTCGTTTACATGTAATTGTACACCAACCGGGCCTGCCTATTGACTAGGGCCGGTCTCCGGCTGGTTTTGTTAGGTCTAGTTTCAGGCAGAACATGAACGGCGTTGATGTACTTGGGAGTTTTTACAGCGTTAACTAAACAATGCTTTATGCTACAGCCGAGTCTGCAACTCAACCTGGTCGTTACTCAGCATTGTCGTCATCACAGAGCATCAAATCGATCAGCTACAGGCTGAACACATACCTATAGGGTATAGGAAGACGTCCAAAAACTGTCAGCCATAGTATCTGTAGTGGGATCTACGTTCCATGCTGGTCAGGCATTTTGCAAAATGCCTAGTCATTTTGTAAAATGGCTAGCCATTTTGAAAAAAGCCTGGTTGCGTTCAGCCATTTTTCAAACAGCCGTCTTTTTGTAAAATGCCTAGGCATTTTACAAAATGACTGATTTTCTAAAGTGCCTGCAACATATACACAACAATTGGGGGCGAGACGGTACGACGAGACAGTCGGCACGAAGCGGCGCAATCCGCGTACACTGCATACTCACCGTCTTTGGCACGGAGTTGACATTCGGAAGCGACAGTGACCACTGATGGCAGGCGCTAGACGATGCGTCGGGCGCGTGCACCGATGGCCCCACCGTAATGCGTGTAAATGCCTCGAATCTGTACACAGGCCTCGCAGGCACACTAAGCACGGACAAATGCCATTGATAAATGGATAAAATAGCGTAGACAAGAGCAGCAAAATGGAAAACTATCGTCTCGAAGACGGGGCAGGATTGCGAGACGCGCGCCGAGCGTCCGCCGGGAAAGGTGTGACGCTCTTTCACGTCACCGCCATCGCGCGAGCACGCGAGTGACGCTTTGTCCAGGACGCCAAGATGTATGACGTGCGTCAGGCTGGACCCGATATGATGTGTGATCTTGTGATGATATATGCCAATATACTACGATGAGCGGCCCGGCGTGTCTTCCCGAGCTCGCGGCATCTCGCTGGCGGTTCGACTCCATCCCGGCGATGGTAAGGACGATCACCGACCCGTCCTCGCCCACCCACCACCGGGCGGAGCCGCAGCTGCCCCTGTCTCCTCACTGGCCACGGCCGGCCGGCGCGCCGTACACGACTAGATGGGCTCTGAGAGCGGGCGGCACCGGCGTCCCTAGCTGAGCGTGGTGCTGCCGTCCCGCGCCACGAACAGCTGCAGGCCGGATGACGCTGGAAAGAGACAGACGGATAAACGTTAGAAACGACAGTCGTAACAGCCATGGATAGTACGATACACACACAGTATAGGGCGGACGAGACTGCGCACAGACAGACGAGCAAGCGTCAGAAACGGCAATCGAAACAGTCGACGGACACGGCGGGCTGAACACACGATCCGGCCGGGACAGACGGAAATCGCATGGGTTTACGCCGTTTACAACCGGACACGGCAAATATGCAAGAGTAATAATGCAGTTCAGGCATCAATAAATCTGCCAACGCCCCACCTACGCACTAGACATGCACCGAGCGATAACAGGGGACGGGGCCTAATCTATTGCCACACGCGAGCACTTTGGGTGGCCGTCGCCTCTATCCGGAACCAGCTGGGTGGCTGATTCACTCTGTCACCACGGCGCCGTGATAAGGTCAATGGTCCATAAAACAGTCACCAAGAGAGCCACACGGACAGGCTTGAGAGCGTCCCACGTGCCAGAGCCTGACAATGTCCCGTCCCAGGGCGTCCCATGTCCCGAGCTCATGCCTGGCAGCATCCAATGTTCGTGGAAGATTGGCGGTGGGTGATATAGTAGGCAGCGCTGCGCGGTCCCCATCCCGTCGGCGACCCCAATCACGGGTTTACGACCCGATGTGCCGCGGCCCTCAGGTCATAGCGCAGCGAGTCTCCATCCGGAGTTCATGCAGGGATTGCAACAGTTGGTAACACGAGGACTAGTTGACAAATACATCTTGTTTGGTAGGCGGCAGACCAGCGACAATACGCCACAATGAGGACAACGTCGGGACACGAAAGCACCACCTGTCTCTGATTAGGATTGGTTTACATATGCTGATGAGAAGTTCATCAATTCAGCTTAGCCTCAGGGGTCCCGCAAGGCCGAAATCGCATATCACAGAGCTACTATTCAGTGAAAATATGCAGTTGCAGTCACGTAAGATGTGTTGCCAAGGATGCTCGCATAATATGGAAAACATATTCGCAGTACGCTGCGACCTCATTCCAACACTATCGCTAAAAATACCATATTCAATTATGCGACTTCGTTATTTGAACTGATATCGACACCATTGCGCAGTTGCCAATTCGTCTCGTTTTTTGGTCAGTGCAATGCCCTTTCAGTCCCCTACGTCGATGTTTAGTCTCTGAGGTTAGTGTCTAGCCCCCCGGGTCGGCGTACCATTTCCTGACCTTCCCACCCTTCCCCTAGCTCACCGTGGTCCGAGTTGAGGTCGGTGACAAACCCCCAAGGCAGGTGTCCAGCCCCCTGGGTCAGCGTCCCCTTCCCCAGCTCACCTTCTGCGTGGTCCGAGTTGAGGTCGGTGTTCTGTAGCAGGTCGTTAATGACGTCCTCTGGGTTGACCCGGGTCGCGTCGAACCGGCAGCTGGCCGCCGCCTCTTTCTTGCGCCGCTCGCTGGTCGCCGGCCGCTCCATCGAGTTGTAGTCGGAGAATGCCGAGCCGCTACTGGCGTTCCTGAAGGGAAGAGAGTGGACGGTCAGGTCACACGTTCTTCAGAAGGGGCTGGGCTAGGGACGGTCAGAAGTTCCTGACGAGAGGCAGTGGTAGGTCAGGTGTGTTGAGCAGATAGCTGGATGTTGGTGGCCGGGGACTGAGACGAAGCGAGTAAACGCGAGGACCGTCCGGCCGTCAGCCGATCCGGGAAAAATGGCGCTACCGCTCTGTAGGATTGGTGAAGGCCTACGAGGCGTTCGGGGGACCTATGAAGCTTGCGCTATCGCAAGTATGAGAGTTATCCGCCTCAAATACTGGTTCATTACTTATCGTTCAGTCACTAGGTCAAAAGCTTGTGCCTAAGCTCTACCACGTACGAGCGATTCAAGGCTTACCAATCAGCGCTGCGTGCTTACATAATATGTGACGCCGGTTGGCTACATCTCTCGCAGCAACTGTTATCGTTCTACTCTGACGGTCATCACTCTGAGATCGGCTCGGACGAATGTCCTAAGCACCTGAGCCGCTGTCACGTTCGACACTGTGAAGCGCGCCCTGTGTCTGGGTGCCCTATCACTGGAGATTGGTCAATCGGCCACGCCGCGGGTGATTGAGGTCGCGGGGAGTGTCGCCGCGCCGCGGACAGTCCACCTCTTGGATTCATGAGCTGAACAGCGACCGGTCAGCAACACAGCGACCTGGCGACTGGCACTTGAAGAAAGCCTGATGCTTCACAATTAAGCGTATTCACTATGTGCGCACTGCGCAATGCCTGCGATTAAAAAGCAACTTAAGCAGTAAAAACCGAGTGCTAATGGAAGCGCATAGCCCTGACTTCGAGTCAGCACTGGGGAACGACACGCTGATCCTATGCTTAATACCTCTGAATAACATAGTGCCGCACTCCCTGGCGTGGTAGTAGCAGGACTCCATCCCAGGGCCGGAATAAAACTAGTGGTGCTTCGCGACTCCATGAATACATAATCAAACCGACATTAGCGTTGGTAATTCGGATTTGTTACGTAAATACAAGGGGTCAAAATGCTAACCATGAGCCAGCCCCACTTCACTGGACTAGGTATCCAGAGCTTCCTGTGCGGCCGCCCGCTCGCTACCCTACGCTCGCACGGCTTACTTTACTGAGCATCACAGCTCCATGGTCCCGGCTCCGTCTGCCGCGCCATTGAAGGTCCCCACCCACCAGTTGCTTCAAAGGTCTAACTGCAGCCGACACGCCACATGTGGCCCCTCCATCGTGTAACGAGACAGCCTTGAACTAACGCCGCCCGGCAAACGCCAGGGTTGTGTGCGGGAAGGGTCGCTTCACAGACGCTCGGTGGGTATCTTTGTGCGGTAGTCGTGGGGGTATTTTGGGAGCCACACGCTCGTATCTCTACGGATAAACTCGCATGAAGTTCATCGTAAAAACAATATAAAATGTTTTGTGTAGATACTAACAGGACGAAAATAAACCTTCATTGACATTTGACCAGGGTCGCACAACATGCCATACATTCATATTTTCGTCGACAGGTTGCGCAAGTCGGGACGCACACGTCCCATAATGCTGTCACTACCCAGCGGAGCACAAAAGCAGTCCCTACCGGGGGCGGCGTGCGTCGCAGTCTTTAGGGTCTGTCCCCGGGGAGTGACGAAGGGTCGCCATATATGGGGCCTGTCCCCCACTGTCCCCCGGACACGGCGTGGGTCCCTGTATTTCGGGCCTACCCCTACTGCTCCCGAGGTGCGGCGTAGACCGCCGGGTTCCCAGCCGCGTCAATGAGTGTGGGCGGTCGTGGAGTGGTGGTGGGCCGTCGGCCGGTGGCTATTTTGGGGCCGCCGGATGGGCCCGACCGACAGATCTGACGTGGCAGCCACAGACAGCCGCCGGGCGCTCCCACGGACCGGCGGCGCAGTCAGCGTTCCCGGTCCGTCATCGGACACCGCCAGCGCCGTCATCAGCGCCGTCAGCACAGACGGTGAGCCGCGGGGCACCGGACGTCACCGGCCTGGTGACCTATCGACCGGCGACGGCAACAGCCGGGCCCTGACATTCACATGGCTAACGAAGGCGGGCGGCGAACACCGGTGTAGGCCGCAGCGACGGCATTAGAACAGCGACAGGCCGCCGAACGCGATAGAGTGACGATAGGCGAGCGGTTTGTGACAGATTATTAGACGCTTGACATTTCGATTCGACCATCATAACCGGATTATCACGCCCCGCAATCTAACAAGTCACGAGGAAGTGTCAGGCGCGATACTGCGCTGTGGGGGAGGCGCCATAGGAGGGCCGTGATGGGAGCGAATTTGGAGATGTGTGTGTGTGAGGGGGGGAGGGAGTTTGACGTACCTGAGGTGTCCCAGCTCGGAGCCGCTGCTCTGCCGGCTATGGGAAGGCTGCGAGGCCAGGCTTCCGTACCCCGACTGGCTGCTCGAGTTCCGTGAGTGGCCCGGCAGGCCAGCCTCCGAGGTAGTCTCCAGATCGGTCACAATGCCCGCTCCGTCACCTGAGGGACGCACAAAAACACGGTCAGAAAGAATTAAAACCAACACAAAACGCATACACATCGCAGGGTAGAGGTCAGGTCACAGCGCACCAGCACAGCACAGCTATTACCACCAGTCGAGCGGCGATGTTGAATGGGGCGCCATCCGTCCGCCCGTTAAATGAGACGAACTATGGCACTACTCAGCCACATCCAGCGTGAAATATGGCGTAACTCGCCGCCTGGCAACACACCCAGCTAGATGGGGCAGCTGCGGATGTGCTTTGGTAAAACAGATGACTGGAACGAGCCGCCCGGGCAAGCCACACGGTGAACACACTGGAAAACACGTGCCGCTCGGCTGACTGCAATACACAGAACTGGACGCCTTGTGAGAAGACCCGTCGACGATGGGTCACAGTGTCAGTTTATAAATAAGGACTCTACGAGTCCGTGGGGCTCCTGAGTCATAGGGTATCTATCGTACATTTCAGGACCATGGAGTTCATCCCTCTGTGACACTCGACATGGCACGAGAGGCCAGCGTGCACCCAACTGAAACATACACACATCCCGTCCCAGATCTCAGCAGCTGCGGGCTCAGAAGGTCCCAGGCTTCGCTCATGCTCTCACCTCACTGAGCAACAATAACAAACCACTGCGTTTTCATAACAAACACACCCGCATCTGCCCATCTCTCCCCCCCCCCACCCAGATGGACGGCAGCGTTCCAGGAACAGTATGCACGCTGCACGCACACTGCACAGCACTGCCAGCGGCGCCGGGCTGGCCGACCTCGCGCTGACACCCTCCTCCCCCCCCCCCCCTCCTATGCGCGGCTGTGGTCACTGACCGACCTCGGCTCCTGCACCTCCTGTCCGATCGCCGAAGGCCACCCAGGCTTCGATGACAGCCCGTGGACCCTCACCGCTTGGTAATATGGTGATCGTTCCCCGTACCGAGCCGCGCGGGTAGAGATGGATCTCTGATCTGCGCGGAGCTGCGCCATACCGACCGCCGCAATCCGTCACCCGGGTACGGAGCGCAGTGTGCGGACTGCCGCTATGCAGCAGCGGTCAGCTGGCCGGTGTTCGATGACGCGGCGGCCGCCAAGCGCGCTTCGCATGGCGCCGGTACCGGCTACCCGATCTGGCCCGGTGCACCACTCGACCGGCTCGATACGCCGCTCGGTGGGCTCGGTTCGCCTCGGCTCGACTGGTGGGCTAATGCGAACACGGCCGGTCTGCCTCATTTGGCGCCGGACTTACCAGTAACCAGTATTCAGTAATTACGGATTAGCCTTTAGTTCGAGTCACGGACCTAGGCTGAGTACTGAGCTGGTGAGACTACTCTGGCAAAGGCTAACCGGTCCCGAGGCGCTACGCAGCATCACCAAAACAGCGCAGAATTTCGCCCGCATCTGCCCTCCAGCTTCCTCTGCAAGCGATCAGGCGCGTCCTCGACTAGCTCTGTGCCCGCTCTCGGTTCCTGTTCCGCCCCTCCCCCTCCCGGGGGTGACCCGTCCCCATGGTCACCACTCGACAATGGTTCAGTGACGTGACATTTGCTGCAGTCGGCGTCCGGCAGAGATCCGGGATTGAGCGGCGCGCGTCAGAGCGAGCCGCCAGCCACGCCCGGTTCGTCACGCTCGGACGGTCTGCGTGCGCACTGAGCGCGGAGAGCGAGCAATTACGGTCGAAGCGGTGTTCAGAGGCTAGCTGCTCTACCAGTCCTGACACGAGTAGACCGTCCAAGAGCTGCCCGCTGCAGCGGGTAGGCTCACAAATGTCAGAATTCGCACTATGGGATTATACTGCAGTGGGCTGCAGTGGTTCCCAGACATTGGCAATGCCATCCGAAAACCCATCATGTCCTTTCGATATTCCCTACGACGGATTTCCTAGCACTGGTTCCATAGGACGTGTTACCTCGGACAGACTCCCTGAGCCAGTGTCGAGGCGGCCCGACCTACCACGCCGCGAGATTCTGTGCAGCACGATCTGCACCAAACTGGTTCTCTCACACTAATTAAGATCAAGTATGCAATTAGCCCGCGGCAACACCGCGACTATCTCACAAGTCGGACAAATTCCAGCAGCCGAAGCCGGTCGCGTCTTTATCGGACGGCCTCATTGGAGACCCGGTATCAATTCTCGGTGAGATTATTCTCCTAAAACCTGGCCACTGACCGGTCGACGAAGGACAGCATAAAAATGGAGGTCGGACCGACGTATAACCGGTTATTTTAGTGGAGCCGCGCGATAAAAACGTCCCTTGAGCCGGTCTGACAGCGACTGTGTGGTGCAGCGGTCAGTCGACGGTCAGCTCAGTTTTGGCGGACGGACACACGACTCGTGCCACCCGAAAGCGGACAGCGGACAATCGACAGCGCAGCGGACATAGGACAGAGGACAGCGGGCAGAGGGAAGCGCACAGCGGCGGCGCCTGGCTCGCGTTAGGACTGTCACCGATGGCAGCTCTCCGGCCACTGTCCACCGGTCATGTGGCTGGCTGCGTGCCGATCGTGACACGTCACAGTGACACCGCCGTCCGAGAGCGTCACGTCACCGGTCACATGCAGCACGTCCTACCGAGAGAGAGGGAAGGAGGGAGGGGGTCTACTGACCTCTGGCCTGGTCGGACGGTGGCGCGCGGCCCGCCTCCCCCGGGGTGGATGCTTCTGATGCTAGGTCACCCGCCTCGCCGGGTAGGTGATGAGCTGATCGCGGAGTTAGCCTGCCGACAGAGAGGGAGGTGGTCAGCGAGAGCTCATATATTGGATAGAGGGAAGGGCGATAGCGGGGCGAGATATTATGCCGAAAGACAGAAAAGCGCTCGTACACAAAAACAAGACAATGTTAAGGCAGTGTCAGAGTGAGCGACAGAGCGGCCTGACAGAACGATACGTGAGAGGCCCATCGTCATAGTCATCACCTGCTCACATCACACCAAGCCTCACACATCACGTCACATGACCACATCACATTCGGAGGTCATTGTCAGACGCCGTCACCGACCAACCATCAATTCCTTCCTAACCGGACTGGGTACAAAACATATAGCGTCGGCTCTCAGACACCGGACCTCGGGCCGACAAAAAGACCCCCGACAGGCCCCGAGCGACCGCACGGTGGCTGGGCATGTCATCGACGCCGGTGTTGGACAGCGATACTGGCGGTCGAACGACCTATAGTGACACGGTAGGTCCACAGAGACGGGAGGTTAGGTAGGCTCACAAAGAAGGCTGACACGAGGGGCTCATATAGGCAAGGGAGACACGACAGGTTCAAGACGAAACTGGTGGTCGTGGTCCAAAGAGACAGAATGAATACCGAGTAACAAGAGACATGGGTACGATGGACTTACAGACGGGAGACACTGTGAGCCCACATGGGCGAGAGGAGGTTGGGTCACATAGACGGGAAGTTGATAGAGACAGGAGACATGGCTACATATCTCACACAGACGGGAGATGCGGAAAGCCGGCACAGCTGCAGAACCAGACGGGATGAGAGGCCGCTGACCCCACTGTCTACAAGACAGATATACCTTCCTGTTTCAAGTTATCGCAACGTCGCGCAGAACAAAGCCGGGCTTGCCGAAATGCGGACACACATGTCCAGCAAGTCATGAAATTGGAGAAATTATTAATAGTTCTTGCATCTATACTAAATAACTCTTTCGGACACATGTGTAAAGCCTGGCACAGCAACCACAAAACAACCACCGATAAGCTATGGAATAGAGACAGCGAACGACACAACTGTGTCCATGGTTCTTCAAAGGACCACGGAAAAACGGCAACAAAAACAAGTCACGGAATTGGGGATTGGCAGGCAAGACATGCACATCAAGCAGTGACTGACTGATGTCTAGTAGCCATATCATAGCGGTAAATCGAACAGCGACTGTACCATGCAAGCGGCGGTGAATAAAGTGAACGTCTTGTCAGCGTCAGTCGAGGACGGCCTAGCATTAGCCGGTACCAGGCACGTAACCGGACTTTTTCACAGTGCCGACCGCTGCTTGACGAGTTATTGCAGGCGAGAAGATACCTCGAACACGTTTATTACCATAGCGCGCCCATGGTCGACGTAAAAATTATGCGAAATCGCATATAGATGGGCCTGTTCGCCGACCAGTGCCCACGTCCTTGGTCAGTCCCAAGGAAATCGGGCGATGGGCAAGGCTGAAATCTGGAAAAATTTGATCGCTGTTTGCACGGAGACTGAGGCGCGCGTGCCAGTAATGTTATCACGGACAAATCGACAGTAGATCGTCGCGTGAACCCGGGGTGTGGCGTGGCGACAGGCCACTGCGACACGTAATTACAACAGCGTACCACCCGAACAGACGGGCTGGAGCCAGGACTGGCAGGGAGCACTGACAGCCACGGCGGCACTGGGTGTGACATGAACCGGTCCACTGTAAACACAGGCGGCACGAGTGGCCACGCGGGAGGCCACAACTGGACAGAGTTGATCAACACCGGTCAGCGACCGGTGCCCGAAATAGTCACCGGGAGTTTACAACATAGGAGCTGACCTGTGGCCGGTGGAGTAATTGGATTGCTTCAAACTGGTGAAAATAATTAGGACTAGAGATGAATGCATTCACTCATATTAAAAATCTAGCCATGAGTATGTAAAAGTAAAAAAAAAGAAATAGCGATCATCTAGCGTTCTCAGTCTCCACATGAGTCTGTGAAAGTCTCAGTCTTCACAAGAGCCACAAGACCCCAATCGCTTCAACTCATAGCAACGTGTCCGACTGATTTCCGAAACCCAAAAGCCTAGCCATGTTCCAGCAACGTGCTCTCGCATCGACTTTCGGTCCATTCTTTAGGCTCACCTCTCACCCGTCCTAAAATCGCGGGCGGCCTTCGTGCCTAACCACCCGTACCCCGTATTTTCCATCACATGTCCGCAGTAACTTTGTCTCACCATCAGTATGCAGTGCAGGTCCAGATCGCCATCCACAGCTCTGACTCGCGGCAGTGAATGTGATTGTGGCTGGAGTGAGCCACAGTGCCGGGCGACCGCGTTCGCGATAGGCCGCGTCTGGGACTCTAGTTATCACTGAAACGTGAGTTTGTGACGGCCTCTTACCTGTGTCGATCACTTGTGGATGGTCGCACTAGTTAACAAATAGCAGAAACACCACGCTACGGCAGCTTAACAGGCGCAGCTACCGCCACGTCGACAGCAAAGACGGAAGCTTACGACCCTGTCGGTTATCATAAGCCTGCTGTATCGATACGGTACCAAAACCGCAAAATTGTACCCATACACCGCCTGAGGTTTGGTGGATTCCGTATGTCGCCAGTGGTTTTGGTCTATGTCGCGGTGTATGGCCGATGACCCCACGTTCTGTCCACCGCGGCTGGTCCGAGTCATGACTCTGACCGGGACTGGAGAGGGGATAGGAGTCACGTCTGACCGCTGACCACGAGAGTACGCTGACCTCAGCAATCAGCGGTCAGCGCGGCGGTCAGCGAGACGACGAAACATCGAATCTCAACCATCAAGCCGCCGTGGTCAGCTCCAGCATCCGTGTGCCACACCGCTCGCTGAACCAAAGACGATGAGAAGACGCCCGGTTCCCACCCCACTAACATGACCGAGACACGGCGGCGGGTCGGGGCCGAGCGCCCTGTGAGGTCGACTCGCCACCCGAGCGATAACCGAGCGGTCGCAGGGCACCTGCCGCAGGTCTCGGGTGGCTCGATGAGGCTGGATCTAGGCCGTCGGAGCGGGCGTATTGGCCGTGTCGGCCAGCTGGCCCCCTGCCCGGCGGCTCCAGGCCACGGCGACCGGGCCCGCGAGCGCCAGTGACCCAGTGCCAGCTGGCCGGGCTGCACCAACACCAACACGGCCGCCGCGCGGACGCCGCAGGCAAAACAGCCGCGCCGGGTGTCCGTCACCACCGGCAGAGGTCACCCCCGTCCCCTCCCCTGCTGGCAGGTCGGCCCGCTGTCGACATGGCGATTGGCGACGGTGCGGCGGAGTGGCAGCGCCGCAGCCCGCTCTTATGAGCCGTCGGCAGCTTATCACGAATGCGTGAGCCTGCACGCAGTCGTGCGAAGGCCGCACGCCTACGCACGTCCGGCCCGATCCAAGACTCAAGACTCCGAGTGGCTGCAGTTATACCGCGCCGGTACCAGTCCACGCACAAGTACCGGCAGCATATTATAGAACAGCGAGACAGAATATGTAAAACACAGCTGACAACACAGTACCGGTACCGGCGCCAGCGGCGACGGAGGGGAAGGGTTATGTCCGTGTCGGGGTGTGCCACTAACGGACCGTCCGACGGGGAAAACTGGAGCTGACGGTCCTCGGTGGTCGCGCCCGTGGCCGGTACAGAGCCGGTGTTTCCCGTTCGGAAGGCCGACTCATCGCAGGACGATGCGACGAGGACTGACCGACGAGTGCTGGTGGAAAGATCGGTAGAACCATGGCCAGGACCAGCCAATGAATATTTGTAGAACAGATGGGCGGGACTACGGCCACATGCAGTGCAGCACAATCAGCACTGCAGTGCTGATGGAGACTGAGCAGACGGTGCTTGGAATCATAGGCGTCGCCAGAGATTTTCGGTTGGGGGGGCAAAATCAACTTTTGTTACGAGCGAGCGAGCGCAGCGAGCGAAGCGAAGTCTTTTCAATATAACGGAAAAATCTCAGTATGAGCGGCCCGGCCCGGCCCGGTCTGTAACGCTTTTGAGAGGCTTATATCTCAGCAACCACTGGACCGATTGGCCTGCGGTCTTTTTTGCACCTAACATAACCAAAAGTTACGCACGGCATAGCGGCAAGGGATCCCTTAGAGAAAGGCTTGGGACTTCCAGGCCATTTCAGGCCACTCATGGTCAGTGTGGACTCTCAGAAGCCTGCAGTTAGGATACCTGAGATCGGCGTGGGTCATCCCAATAGGGCTTTCCGAGCCCAAGGTGGGGCCCTCAGAAGCCAGTGTAGTCGGCGGGCGCTAAGAGACTGGGCCCAGGGTAAGCCTGGAGCCCTCGGATAACAGTGTGAACCGTCGGGGTCTGTGTCGATTCCCTAAGGACCCTACGTAGGGACATAAGAAACATGTGTTGCGGCCCTCAGAGGTGCACGTGAGTTGTGATCCCTCAGATGCCGGCTTGGGGTTACCAAAGTCTGTCGCCTCAAGAGTTCGGCTGAACTATCCGAGGCCAATTAACCCTATTCCTGGCGGGGGGGCCTCAGGAGCCCCCCCTGAGGTTTTTTGGTTATTTCTCCCAAACGCGTTGAGCTAGGAAGCTCAAATTTTCTGACTTTTCCTAAAAGGCTTCTACGCGACATGTCTGAAAATTTTGAGTTGATCTGACCTCAGGTCAGGTCACCAGAGGCGGTTTGGTGACCCTACCTCAGAAAAGTTTGCAATCACGCCAGAGCTAGAGTTTTTGACCGATCAATTTCTTCTCTTCAGGCTTTAGTAAGGATACCAGTATGTGCAATTTGTATATCTCGGAATTTTGATATCAGTGACCTAAGGTCAGGTCAGTTTCGCGACCTCCCCATTATAAGTCAATGGGGGAAAAATCAACTCCCTGTTTTTACCACTAAAACGGGTCGGAATGGCCCCATATACCATACTTGACTTCATATACGATCAACCTTCACTACCTTGAGGTCTGTTTTGCTGTTGGGCAGCTGTGAGGTCATGTGACGTCATCAAAGGTCACCAAAGGTTTTTGGCCAATAACTCCGTACAGGAACAAGATACAGACGCGTGGATGGTCTCATTGTGTTCAGCTCGTCAAGACGCATCGATTGATATGCATGATGACCTCGAGGTCACGTGACCTGAGGTCAACCTTTGACCTCGACCTTTCGAGGTCAACATATATATTATTCGATGCGGATTGACGAGAGGATCACGATGATGCCCTTAGTTTGTTCCTATCTTGACTAATTCGAAAGTTATTCGAGAAAAACTCTCCATATCTAGCGCCGCCATTTTGACTTTTTCGACCCCTGTGACGTCATCTTTGACCTGACCTGAAAATGACCTTTGTAAAAATTGTAGATCTTGACCGTGCGTATCCGATGCCGTTTACCGTTTGTCGCTGCGATGTGTAGTTTTTGAGATCTGAAGGGGGGGCCGAATCGGCCCCCCCGCCAGTTTCTTGTCCCGGCGGAGCCCGCCAGGAATAGGGTTAAGGTTCTCAGAAATTTTCGAAGGCATCCTCAAAGCTTCGTGTGGCCCTTCAGAGGACTACATAATGTATAAGGTCCTCAAAGATCCCTGTAACGATCCCTCAAAGATCCCTGTTATGGGCCCTCAGAAAACATGGATACCAGTGGGACTCTCAGAGGCCGGTCTGGGCCCTCTGAAAGCTTCTTAGAGCTCAGTGGAGCTCCTTAGGAGCTTGTGTGAAAAGCAAGCTCATGAGCCCTGCGGCACTTGAACGGTACTTGAGCCTGTCACAGACATTTGGCGAGAGTTGAGAAAGGCCCCGAAGTTTTTGTGTCACGCTTTGAACGAAAATTATGTCAGCAGGCTCCAAAACTTATGAAAATCAGCTATAAAATGTAATATACATAGAACCAACTAGGAACATGGAATGAATCACAGCATTGACATTTCCGAGTCTGGAGTCGGAGTCTTGAAGATTTTAGCGACTGCGACTCTGACTCTTGTGTGAACTGCACGATCCAACCGAGTCTGAACTCACAGGTATTCTCAGAAAGGTACCCCCATTTTTTTCCCGACTCGAAAATCTCATCGGATCTGCATCGATCTCAGGGGGTGCCCGGTCCGAGGTTGGGGGGGCAAGCTGCCCCGCTTGCCCCCCCGTGGCGACGCTAATGCTTGGAATTCTGCCCTAAACAACAGCCGCGAAAGACGGCCAGGGATGTGCGGTTTGGGTGTGGACTGCGGAAGGGTAGGGCGTCGCAAATACGATAAACAAACAATCATTCACCATTGTTCCCAGTATCGTTGGATTCAATGTGATTCACGAAGCGCAAGGAAATAGCATCACGGAACACGAAATAGGCTTTCGACTGATTATATAGACGAAACGAAAAAAACGAGTTATAAACGAAGTTGACGGTATAATATCAATACTTCTCTTTTCACTTTTTCTTTAATTGTTGTACTGCAATAAATTGCTACTTAAAGTTACTTACTGAAAACGTTGATCACAGCAGTTGCAATATACCTAATTTTGAGGATAGCAAAAGCTCTTAGCAGCAAATGGACGTTGCGCGATCCGGGCACGACATAGGGTTCACTGCAGTGCACACTGAACAGGGCGTGCGGGCGTGCACCAAGTCAGTCGTGAGGCCTGTCAACAAACTGGGGCAATTCCAACGGGACTGGCCACGAGCGCCTGTCCAGCGGGCTTTCCCAAAATGGAGGTTTGCGCAAACACATATCGTGCGCATATGCTCCACGAACTCAATCAACTAGCCGATACCGCGATCATTTTTTTTTCCAACACCACACGCAAGCTGTTGAGGAAGTTTTGTCCACGTCACTGACAGCGATGGCAAGCCCTGACACCACTTTAGTTTAGTCCAATTACGGGCCAACAGGCAGCCACACGAAACACTCCTTAAAGCCGCAGGTCTGGGTCTTCCGGCAACGAGCGGAGATTCTTATAATTTTGGGTCGCATACCGATGCACGTAAAATTCAATGCCGACGACCCAAGGTAGACAGGGGAACGAGGAAAACAGGAAAACCAACCACCGACCCTTTCACTTCCAGCGAATTTTATCAAGATAGCGCTGGCCCGTCCCTGAACAGGTCAATGACAGAATATGCAATCAGGCGGTGACTCACAAAAACCAATCGTGCAGAAAGAAGGAGGGGGCGAGGGACGAGGCGGAGCTGGGTCCAGTAGCCAGCTGGGACCTTCGGCTACTGATACCGGAAACAGCGCGATTACCACGGCCTTGGTGTCGACAGATGTCGCGGATTTCGGAGACTGGTTGACGATGGGCAGTAAAACATTACATTGGCACTGACTTCAACAGTTCCAAGCGAGACGGCACAAGCATGCGACACAGCATGACAGATTTGCGATCCAGCACCAGTTACACACCAGACTACCACTCTTTTTTACCAAACACGCCCAACCGAAATCAGGTAAAAAAATACAAGACACACCACATCTTCACCTCCACCACCGGACAATGCCGCTATATCCCTCCCAACCTATATCCAACCACAGCGCCCCTTTCTCCGCGTGTACTCACGTCCTGAAGCATGGGTCGCCACTGAGCAGCGTGGTCGACAGCACCACCTTCAGCATGCTATTGTCTTGCCGGTGTCGCAGGTCGTACCCCTGCAGCAGGTAGCGCCGACACTGGCCCACGCCGCCGGCAAACTCAGCCAGGTCGATGTCGGCGAAACCGAGCTTCTGGTACGAGCGACCGCCCTTGGCCTCCTGTGGAGAGAAGAGGACGGGTCAGATGTGGAACGACGGGTCCAGTTGGGGGAGGACGGGTCAGAAGAGAAACCAGTTATCTGGAGGTCGGGTGACAACGGGTCAGGAGGGAGACACCTGGTCTGCTCCTGACCCGTACGCAGGATTTCAAACAACCGAAATAGCCCGATCTATGGCTTGCTGAATTTTTATCACAGAGGGCAGCGATGCTAAATACATCAAGGCCGTTAGGCGCCTGTAGCTGATATGGTAAGACCCAGTACGCTATGTGGAGGCGATGGGAACACAGGACATGAGACTAGGCAGGCGCCTGAGCTGCGTGCGATTGGCCTTTTCTGGCGTAACGACAGCTGGCCCGTTCTCGGAGAGTCATGGTCGGAGAGGCGCCTAACCTTGAACTGCCTGTCGAGACGCATTGATTTCCCACGCCCACTGCAGCCAAATCCGTCCAGCGTGCTGCTGGTTTACCTGCACCACTCCGGAGAAAGTGAACGCAGAGGTCAGGTCTGTCGGCCAGCTTTGATGGACATCTGCTAACAGGTGACTCAAGGCCCCGCGCACGTCCGCCGCCGATGGCAGCGTTATTAAATTCTGAGAGTCGCGCGTCGCGTTATTAAATTATGTATATGAGCACTACCAAGAACAAATAAGGCTGATATTTCAGCCCCGACGACTGACAAATTAGTCCGTCAGGCTAATGTAACGCCGCAATGTAATCACGCCAAGGCTCTAATGATTACCCCAGTTATCTGACACGCGGCTGTTACACTCGTAACTCCAACCCGACGAGAGGAGCTCAGCTCAGTTTTTTCCCCTCCAACAGATACTTGTCTAACGAGCACCAGCCCGGTGCGTGCCATCCGACCCCAGTAGCGCGCCATCCTTGTCGAGGGCAAGCCGTCCTCCAATTAATCCATCCCGCTACCCCTCAGGTGTGCTTAGAAACGGACGTGGAGCAGTTTGGGCCAGGGTAAACGGACTCGCTTCCAAGACCGTCCCAGCAGGGAGCCTTCGAAAACGCGCCGTGGCAGTCGGTCGTTTCCCGAACTGTTCCCAAGGTGAGCGTTCGGCCTGTTTAGACTACCGCCGCCAAGCGTACACCGACAGCGCCAGTTTAGACACAGGGATAGTTTGGACTGGTGAGGAAGTTGAACACCTGAGTTTGAGCAGCTCCCGGAGATAAGCAACTACGTAAAGCGGCTAAGGGAACTGAGCAACTGCGCATGATCCGCTTCAGAACTGGGCGAGTGAGTCTGGGCCGCCCCTAGAACGGGCGGTAGGTGTGGATTTCGACAACTGAGTCGCGGAGGAGGGCTGGAGGGCCGGCCTGCCAGGAAGAGCCGTCCCGGCGGCGCCAGTGTCGTCGCTAGGGACCAGGACAATGGTCCAAACAATAGACCGAACTGGCGGCGGAACGCGGCTGAAGCACGGTCACGCGTGAATGGTTCCGCCGACCGGGGCGGACTCACAGTCGGGGGCGCTCGCCGGCGTCGGGCGGAGGTCGCTCGGATGACCTCGGCCCCGGCCGAGACCTGGCCGGCCGCCGCCGCTCGGCCTTCCCCCAGTGACGTCACGACGCTCCGCTACACGGTGGCGTGCAGGGAACAGTCGCGTGCCGCCTTATCGCCGGCCGACGCCATACCCGACACCCGCCGCTCCCAGTTCAGCGATACCAGCTCCCATCGACGATCCAGAATGGCGATTTTTCTCGCAGCTGTTTACCCCGACTGTGCAGCCAATTGAAAGAATCGGCGCCGCCTGCAGCCGGGCCCGCACGCCAGGCTGGACCGGCCCGGCGGCGCCGGCGAGCGGGGAGTCCAGCCGGTCTCGTGCCCGTCCAGCCAGCGGTCACTCGCCATTGGCGCTCCCAGGTTTCCTCAGAGGCTCGTGCAAGTCGGCGACCTTGCCTGTCAGGCTGAGTCGCGCCGCACCGGACCGGGCCGGCCCCAGTTGCGTAACACGTTGTCCCTGCACACTGCACCTTGCAGGTTCATAACCCCACCATGGCAAGACGCCGTCAGACTGGAAACGCAAAGTCCCAGCTGTGTAATTCTCGGATCCCGCAGTAACCCGTCACCAAAAGACCGCTCCGACGACTTCCCTCCCTTTCCCCGTCCCCACCTAGACACCAGACCACCGTCCACCTGTCCGACACAGAGGGGGTACCGCTGATTAACAGGCACCTGCCGCCGACAACTTTGGAAAACATCACACAGCTCGCGGAAGACCAGCTCTCGGTGCGAGCAGCTCGGGGAAAAGGTCGCCATGGTATTACCATCTCCACCACATCAGAGAGACTGGTTTATTGCCAGATCACCATTCGTGGAGGGTAGACTGTGGTAACGATCAATACCAACCGGCTAGTGAAATTTCCCAACGCCAGTCAGCATGAGCGGGTGACGGTCCCTAATGCCGTCACGATCCCACATCACCACGCGTCGGCACGTTGTCATCGTATTGGCTCACGTCACGGTGTCATCGCGTCACGTCACGTTGACATCACGTCACGTCACAGCTGACCACCGGTCATCATCAGTCAGGGACGTCGGACGGTGAGACGCACGATGGGCACGCACACCTTTCGCCGACCGTGCAGTGATGTCATGCCGCGCACTCGGCCCTGTCATCGCTGTCATCGGGATGCAAAGGGTAGCCGCTGACGATGTCACGGGAGTGTTGTCGGACTAGGGTGCATACTGCATGGGCTCTTGGGCCTACAGCATCCAGGGGACTTATTCTAGGACTTAATGAGCCACCTTCGTCGCCGGTTCGTGGTTCGTATTGGTTTCAGCGAATGATCGGTAGGTAGTAGTCTGTCGCGGCGCGCGCCCAGACGAGAGAGCGGATGTCTGGTGAAGGGCCACCCGAGCCCGTCTCCGCTCTCCGGGACGCAGGGTAACGGATGGTGCCTCTCAGACAGATCGGGAGAACGTAAAACAGATGCCGCCGCCGGCGCGACTCTCTCTCTCTCGGAATGACAGAACAATGAAAACAATGCCAGTTACGCATTGTCACGGGATTGCACCCGTCACTCTCCGGTTTGTAAGTAAGCTGGCGATGAGTTGTACACTCAACAAATGAGCTGACAGGCTGATAAATGAATCTGGATCATCACTGACGACAGTTGCCAAATAGTGCCGACAGATTCTCTCACGAGATTAGTTATCACATGTGGTAAATTCCTGTGAGGACTGGTGATGACGTCAGCAGGAGCGGCACTGACGTTAATGACGTGAGGGCGGCACGTCGGAAATGGCGAGATGCGATAACACGGCTCGCTCGATACTGATAACGAAAACAGGACGGCTGCTCAAGCAGGTGGAGATGCTGGAGCAGGCCGTCACCAGGTTATCAGAAATCGTGGTAAGGGGATCTCGTTTCCGTGGCACGAAAATGAGAAAAATATATTAAATGCTGATGCTGTCAGCCAAGCGCTAGAACTTAAATATCACGCATCTCATACATATCTGATAGGCTTCACCCATACATTATCGCATCAAATACCAGCGCCCTTGCGATTCGCGCACTTCTCGCGTTCGCCCGCACTAAAGCTCCCACATTCCGCTCGGCCTACGTCACACACTCACGTCATAAGCGACGCCGCCTCCTCACGGTCACGGCTATTCCGGCGCCCAATGCGGCCCGGGGCGGCCCGGGCGAATCTCCACTGTGGTGGCTCCGCGCAGCTTGGTGCCGCTGGGGGTCGCCGGCCTTCCCACGACGGTAAGCCGCCGTCGAAGGTCGACCATAGATGAGGCGACGCCTTGGAGAGACGAGCGAAGACGAAAGAGGAGCCAATATGGCGGAGCGACGAGCTAATATGGAGACGAACTGTCATCTCTTTTCATAAAGACACCAAAGTTACCAGTACATGAACGAACTCGATGGAAGGACGAGCTAGCCATTCGGAAACCAGACAGCGCCTCCACAGAAAAGGCTGCACGACAAAGTAAGATTCTCTGGGATGAAGTAACACGGTTTAACCCGCGCCCCACTGGGGTCTGTGTATAACACGCCCTACTGGGGGGGGGGGCTATTCATAGCCCCCCTCCTAACTCCAAAACTACTGGGCCGATCGTCAAAATTCAAACGGCGTCTGATAGACCCGGAAAAACTGTCGAGCGAAACCTAATTTCATTGACCTCGAGGTCACCGATGACGTCACAGGTCAGGTCAAAGTAAAAATTATTAGCATTTTGGCTTGTTCACATTTTGGGCTCTGGCCGCCGTCTTACAAGTCAGATCAGGCTAATTTTTGGTTTCCACACTCGTGAACAGATGTTCTAGATACCTTGAGGGTACCAAGCTTGTACTTTGATTTTCAGGTCAGGGTCAGGTCATCACAGGTCACGAAAATATTATACCTATCATGCGCCGGTCACGTGACACATGTTTTATGGTCCATTTAGGCCATAGATTTCGAATTTGATGTCGTCTGTGTCATTCGAGGTCATTTTGAGTCGAATTTAGCTTAGGTCAGGTCACTTTCAGGTCAAAAAAGGTCAAATTTTGAAGTTAAAATTTTTTCAACAAAAAAGGTGTCTATTGGATGCAGTTTGAGCTCAGGAACACGATGGTGCCATTTATATTGGTGTACGATGTCAAATACGTACTGAAAAATTGATTTGAAAAATTAATAATTGTGAATTTTTTGCAATAATGCGTATAACTTGGCCATTTTTGAAGATATTTAGCTAAAACTTGCTAGAGTTAGTCATGAACATGCGTTCTGTCACATATATTCCGGTTTTTTCGAAAAGTCAAAAACTTTTTGAAAAAATATAAAAATATAAATTTTGAATATTATTATATACAATTTTCGAAATTTTCAAAATTTTGAAAATCCGAGATAGCAGTTTGATAGCGCGGTCAATTCTGAGTCCTTTCATGCAAGGAAATTGGATCTAGCTTAAAAACTGAGCTCTTGGGAGCGATTGCCGTGGTTCAATGTTTTGCGTCGAAATCGGACGAACATGACGTCACTCTGACGTCATTTCCGG